CTTCTAATGATGTTCAGAACTTTGCTGTATCAGAGTCTTCTGCAGCATGTGTGCTTTCAGCGTGTTGATCATCAGAGCATATTTGACACAGAACTTCAGTACTTGGCAGCTTTAGTACTTTCAGAAACTTCTGTAGAAACTATGCTTTGAGAAACTCTTCATACAATATTCTTCTTAGCTTCAGATGCTTCTGACTAGCTTCAGATGCTTCTGCTTCAGAATCTTCTGGAGCTTCTTGCTTCAGATCCTTCTGGAGACTAGGCTCAGGATCTTCTGTAAACAGCAATCAGAATCTTCTAATGAATGCATCTGGCGCTTCAGAGTCAGTCACTTTCTTGTATACCATTCAGATTTGCTTCTGGAGTGTTAATTTCATTTCAATCTGCAGTAAAACTCTCAAGCAAATTTTAGAGTATATAATTCTTAAATATAAAATTTCCTAACAGTTATCATCAAAACAAAGAGATATTATTAAGAACCAATCTGTGTTCTAACATAATTTGCAACGGATTCAAGAAAAAATTATTGATTTGATGTTCATCCTTTTTGGTTGGACTTTCATTATTGTCTCTTTCATGATAGTTATCTTACTCCTCTTCAAGTTTCATAGTCTTAGGTTGATCAATCCCTTATTTAATGTCCTTGAGTATGTCTCTTGAAGATACATCTACATCATGAAATGAAATACCTTTTCCACATTTATCGGATAGAAGCGTTACAAATAATCTACACACTTTTACCAATTAATAAACACTATTTGTTGACTTCCTTGGTAACACACCCCTTCTTCCTTGCCACAAAGTTAACGAAACAAGGAGATGTCACACGTATAATGTCTTGAGCAACCATAAACGATATCCCATACTCTCTTCATAGAGCCAAGCCATTTATCTAGAAAAATCAACAAGAAATTATAGGTACCCAATCTTCATTGGTTCCTTAAAGGTGAATGAAAACTTGGTTGCATTTAGGCAACCATTGAAAAACGCCTTTAGGCACAAGAAATTTTCTAAACTTGCATTTTGCAATGGTATGACCCTTCTTGCAACAAAAGTGACAAGTTAAATGATGAGAAGAGTGACCTTTGTTATTTTGATCCTTTTCACCAAAGCTATACCTTCTATAAAGATTATGAGAAGGCATCTTATACTTGGTAGTATATATAGAAAAAGTGACATTTGGTTGTAATGTCTTGTCCAAATTAGCTTTAAGAGTATTTACTTCTTTTGCCAAATGTGACAAGTTTCATAACTGAACCATGAAGTTTCTTCATCCTCATATTTAACTTTTTGAATATCTACCATAAATTGCTTAAGAGCTTCCATATTATTTTTCGGTTTCCAAACTTTAGCTTCTAAATATGTAAAAATTATTTTATTTGAAGCTAACTTTTTGAAAGCGTATACAACTTCTCCATGTAGATTTTCAAAACCTTTTTGCAACTCAAAATAATACAATTCATCAACATGTTTATATTTAGAGTGACTTATATTCTTTTTCTTCTTTTTACGATAATAAGTCAGGAGACAAACATTTTTCCCTTCTTCCTCATCATTTGAGATTTCATCACCTGAGGAATCACTATCGCTTTCCCACGCAATATAAGCTCTTCTAGACTTGCTAGATTTTCTGTGATGGTCATTCTCTTTGTCTTTCTCTACCAATGGACACTCTAGCTTGTAATGCCTGGTTTTGCCACAATTGTAACATGAACGTCTTGATATTCTTTTCTTGTCATCATCTTCCTTTTATGAGTTTGATTGTCTTCTAAATTTGATGAGGTTTTTTTCCGAAAACTTTACACCATTTGTTTTGATGTACTTGTTGAATATCTTCATAAAAAGTCCCATATATTCATCATCCAAATTCTCGTCATCTCTTGTTTCACAATCACTTTGCTCATTGATTGAGGACTTTAAACTTGAAACCTTTAGAGCAATAGACTTCTTTTCTTCCTCTTTTTCTTTACCTTTATTCTTCTTCATCTTCTTCTCATGATTTTTCTCATGTTTTTCCAAGTAAGTGATTTATTTCTCATATTGTTCTAGCTTGCTAAATAAAGTTATCAGATCAAGTGTTTTCATATCATCCACTTCTTTGATCGCAGGGACCTTGGGTTGCCATTCCCTGTTAAGACACCTCAAAAATTTATTAGTAGCTATATCATTGGAGATAGGATTACCTAGAGCCTTTAAAAATTTTATAATACGTATGAACCTCTTTTGCATGTCGGCAATGGTTTCACCATGCTTCATGTAAAATAGTTTAAAATCTTGATTTAACATATTTATCCTAGCTTGTTTGACATACTTAGTTCCCTCATCGGCAACTTCTAATGTGTCCCGCATAGAATTGGCGCTTTCAAAATAAGAGACTTGATAATATTCATCAGCATCAAGTGCGGATATGAGAATATTGTGTGCCTTTCAATCACGTGACCATAATTTCTTATCATTATCATCCCACTGTGCTTTTATTTTTGGCACGACGACACCTTGAGCATTAGTTACCGCAATTTGATTAGGACCATTGATAATGGCGTCCCACAGACCCTTATCAACCAAGTCGATATGGTTACACATACAAGCTTTCCAATAGGCATAATTTTCACCGGTAAAAATAAGTGCTCGATTGTATG